TCATAAGCCTTTAAGCCAGCATTAACACACTTTTCAGAAATGGGAGATATATCTATTAGCATTTTATTCATTGGACAATAAAGCGTGTGGACAAAGTAACATCAGTGTGCAGAAGCTGTTTAGTTTTCAAAAACTTTCATAGTTATAAATGATAGCAGAGCTATTTACCATTTGTAGGAATGGCTTAGAGACTAAAGATGAGCACATATTTCTTATTTTGCCTAAGGTTAAGGAAAAAGGTGTGGGGCACTTGGGTGGCTCAGTCAGTTAAGCGTCTGCCTTCTGCTCAGGTCCTGGGATGGAGCCCCATGTCCTTGCCCCATCCACCCCCCCCCCCCCCCCCTGCTTTCTCTCTCTCTCTCTCTCTCTCTCGCTCTCGCTCTTTCTCGCTCTCAAATAAATAAAATCTTAAAAAAAAAGAAAAGGAAAATGTGTGTCATCAGTCTCTTAGTTATATTTTTGGTTTAGAATGCTCATGGATACATTCATTCATTCACTTACCCATTTATTCAGCGAATGTATGGAGAGCTTTTTATCTGTATGATATTAAGCACTGAAAAAAAAACAGCTGTATTTAAGAGCGAATAGCTAATGGGAAATGCTGGTGATAAACAAGTAAACAAATAAAATATTGGCACATGGTATAAAGGAAATCAACAAGCCTTTCCAGTCTTTTTGTTTTTTTTTGTTGTTGTTGTTACTGGCATAAAAAAGCTTATTAAACTTAATTGTGTTGTTCATTTATTTATTTGTCTACTTATTTATTTTCTCTCTCCTAGTGGACTATAAAAGCCACATGATGAGGGACCTAGTCTTGTTTCCTGCTGTTTCCCCAGTGTAAGGACACTGCCTGGCACATAGCAGACACACAGTACATATTTGTTCAATACATTTTCTGATGAAGTGAATATGATAGAAACTGACAGAGGCCCTGTGCCAGATGAGGGGACCTGGAAAGCATTGTGTTTGTATTTGTATTTGTATTTGTAATGCATTTGTTTTTAAAATCTTTGGTCAAAGTGTGTGACCAAACCGCTTTGGTTTATCTTTATTTCTAAATATGAATGACATTTGCTTTTTTTTTTTTTTTAAGATTATTCAATTATTTAATTGAAAGAGAGAGAGATCACAAGTAGGCAGAGAGGCAGGCAGAGAGAGAGGGGGAAGCAGGCTCCCTGCTGAGCAGAAAGCCCGACTTGATCCCAGGACCCTCAGACCATGACCTGAGCCCAAGGCAGAGGCTTAACCCACTGAGCCACCCAGGCGCCCCTGACATTTGTTTTTTAAATTTACAATTGACCTAAAGCTGTTTTAAAAATGCATATTAAAAACTTATTTAGGGGCGCCTGGTGGCTCAGTGGGTTAAAGCCTCTGTCTTCAGCTCAGGTCATGATCCCAGGGTCATGGGATCAAGCCCCATATCAGGCTCTCTGCTCAGCAGGGAGCCTGCTTCCACTCTCTCTCTCTCTCTCTCTCTGCCTGCCTCTCTGACTACTTGTGAGCTCCGTCTATCAAATAGATGAATAAAAATCTTAAAAAGAAAAAACTTATTTAAAAGCTGTTGAACTGCTTATTGAAAACTACAAGACTGTCTTTTAAAACAAATAGGTATGAAGAATTAGGGAACTCACTTCCTTTAAATTCTGCAGTCCACTTCTCCCTTCAGAATTTTAAGAGATTGGCTGGCCTGCTGAAAGCACAGATTTGCATTTAAATCATCCTAAATAAAGTCATAAAGCCTATTCTAAGTTTGTAAGGTATGAGATTGTTTTCCTTTGCTTTCTGTTTTATCTCTTAGCTTTAGATATTTACTTTAAAATCAATAAGAAAATTTAAATACCGTAAGAGAAAAATGAGCAGAGGATAGAACAAGAAGCTGTTGTGATAAATGAATAAATTTTAAAAACAGAGAAAGAATATAAAAAACATAAAGAGCCAGAGAGTAAAGGAAAGTCTGTTCTACCTCTTTTGCAATTAGGGAATTGAAAATTAAAATAATGAAGTACCACGTGTTGCATATCATTTTGGAAAAAAATGGTTTGGGGAAACAGGAACTCATGCACTGTTATTGTGAATATGTATTGTTTCAACCTTTCCAGGAGCAATTTGACAAAATGAATTAAAAGCCTTAAACATACATTTGCCTTTTGACCTATTAATTTCACTTCTGAGAATATATCTTAATGAAATAATGAAGTATGTGTGAATATTTAGCCATAAAGATAATTAAATGAAGTACTCTTTAAGGTAGCAAAGTATTAGACATCATTTAAGTTACCAACAAGAGCAAAATAAAGTCATGGCACTTTTAAAATTCAATATAGTTTTATTTGGCAAGTATAAGTATTGTCCACAAGTTTCTTTATTGACTTGGAAAGATGCTAAGGAAGTATTAAGGGGGAAAAAAGTAAATTAAAAGTAATTTTTATAAAAAAAATTAAAAATGATTTTTCCAACATTGTGTAAAAGTACATATTTTGGAGAAAGGGAGATAGACACTGAGATAGAAAGACATGAAGTCTATGCATGGATGTGTTTTTAGTGCTTGTTTGTGGATGAGTAGATTGTCTAACTATGGTGAACACACAGGCTTTTGTATTATAATGTGTATGCTTTATTTGAAGTGTAAAGATACGTAATTTTGCTTTAAAGTTTCCCTGGGTGAACCAGTAGAAACGTGGACAGAAGCCATGAACAGGCAGTTTATATAAACAGACACCTGGTTAGCTATCTTGGATGTGAAGAGATGCTTGAACTAACAAGTGAACGAAGAAATGCAAATATTACATCAATAGGATATCACTTTGTACCCCTTGGATTGGCCAAAAAAAAATTGGTGAGAAAAAGGACAAATAGAATTCTGATAGAATCTCTGTTGGTACAACTCATTCTTGGGAATGGGTCTGGAGGGCCATTCTGGAGAGCACATTAAGTGGGTTTTTCTGGGATTAGCCATCACTCCAGGTCCTGGAAATGAGAAAAACAAATCAACCTGACTTTATTTTATTACGAGTTAATGTGGATCTGTTATTATTATGGACTTTGTTTTATTATTATTTATATCATGGATAGGAAAAGCAGATAGGAGTACTGCTTCTCTCAACCTAATTCATACAAGCACAGTGAGGTGTATTACTAAAAGAAAGTAGTTAAAATCTTGATAGCGGATCCCATGAACTTAGATTTTATAATAAACAAGGAAGAAATGGATTAAAATGATCAGATCTGTGACCTTGAGGAAGGCAGACTCCAGAATGGCCCAGCATTAACATAACTTCTTCAAGCCTCAAGAAGCCACCTGCCCTGGAGTGACACAGCAGCCTAGAAGGACACAGCTCGAAGAAATGACCATTAGGCCAGAACTATGTCAGATTTTGTAGACAATGACCACTGTATACATTCTGGAAGTCAGTCAGAATACCTGGCTCCTGTCCTAGCTCAGCAAGAAAAATATTCAGGAAGATTTTATAAACAAAAAGACCTCTAAGGATCATTAGAATTGAGTCTTCCACTGGCCCCCACTGTGGGGCTGGAGTGTAAGGGCACAGAAACGTGTCCAGTCCTGATTGTGAAGAACGTGAGAGGTCATGGTGTTAAGTTTTAGTCTCATAAAAAAAATTACAAAAAGTACATCATCTGAGTTTCATTTTAGAAAAAAAACGATGGGAGCTTTGAGAGAAAGAACGTTTCTGATTACGTGACCACATTGTGAATCAACTGGACCTCAAAGGAAAGCAGATGGTCTGTACACCATTATGCCAGCCAGGCAGGACATGGCCGATGTTCATGCCGTACAGAATCGAGGTGGGCCAAAAGTTGGGGGGAAATCCAGATGGTAAGCATAAGCTAAAACACACCAGACGTAGTGAGGATTAAAACTCTGAAATATCATATCCAGACCTTAATGCCAGGTAAGGCAGTGACAGTGGAGACCATAAAAAGTAAGGCAGTGTAGTCTGTGTACCAGAAAGCTGGAGACCATGGATGGTCCGTATCTACAGAGAGGGGGTAAATAACTAGTGGCCGATGGTTACCATGGAATTCTTTGCAGCTGGTGTTAGAACTAAGCATGCACCAGCAATGTGATTAGATCTGAAGAAGTTCATAGCTAGAGTTCCCAGATAAAATATAAATAAAAATAAAAAATTATATATAAAATAAATTATATATAAAAAATATAAATAAAAAATAAAAATTAAATTTGAATTACTGACAAACAACAGATATCTTATAAGGATAAATATATCCCAAATCATGGCTAAATCTGGCCACTCTAGCCATTTCACAAACACAGTTGCTGAAAATAAAAGCTATGCACACAGGCAAATCAAGCCAACTTATTTCCTAGGAATATATAGCAAACACATCGACAGCTGTTGTGTTTGTGGGAGAAGAGAGTGGGGATACAAATGAATACATAAATATTACATAAACAAAGACACAAAAGAAGAGAGGGCTTTGAATGGACACTTGGTGATAGTGAGCTGAGTGTGAGGAACTCAGCTCTTATCTGCCTAAATCTAAGAGGAAGTAATAACCGTTTGCCTGCGCTCTCCCGGAATTTCTTCTCCGAAGTTCTGCTGACACTGCCCGGCTGATAAACAGCTTATTCTGTTCTGCAGAGCAATCCCTGTGGAATACTCTGGCACTGGCAGCAAAATTAAGCCCTGGGAAAGTGAACAGGTGAGGGCGTCGCCAGGTGGCGTAAGATTCAGGAGGGGAGAAAATTAATAATTTCATAAACCTCGTAAAAAAAAAAATGAAACCAGTAGACAGATCTTCTTAGGAACATTGCTTCAGCTAGATTTTCCTTTTCTAACAGAGGAACATTCTTACGGGGTAACTATTGGTAAAAGAATGTCAGCAAGCACAAATCCTTCACTGTTGTCAGGAGTCGTTGCGAGAGTAGGCAAATTCTCCCCACTGGCAAATGACAGTTCAGTCCATGTCACCGAGTCACCCTTACTTTCTTAAAGCCTTTTCCTTTTTTAATGTTACAGCTGATTACAAGGAGAGCTTTAATACGATTGGAAACATCGAGGAGATTGCGTATAATGCTGTTTCCTTCACCTGGGACGTGAATGAAGAGGCGAAGGTGAGTGGGAAAATAGTATTGATTCGTTGCTCGTGCCTTTTGAATAATGCCACCATTCCCTGCAGGTGTTTCTTTCACAAAAGTCTCTGTAAGTAGGGGAAGACCTGTTAACTCGAGCCAGGAGAAAAGGAACTGAATCTCTTACCTTTCTCTCGAAGTTACGTACGTTCAGTTTTGTGCAGTTAAATTGCCTTTCGGGGGTAAGGGAGAAAACGGGAGTGTGTGTGTTTCGCTGTGGCCTCTTGTAGGACGGGCCAAGCTGCATGTCCCTCCCAAATCCTCTAGCTCCTCATGCTTCATTTTAGCATGTGGGGTGGCAAGGCTGGGCCAGAAGACCTTTTTCAACTACACTGCAGGTTCCCCCGAACAGCCCTGATTGCTGCTTTCTCCAGAGGCAGGAAAGTGTTCAGAACTGTGGTCTCCATGGGTAAGTGACTGGACAGGCTTCTGGCCCCATGAGTCCCTCCAAGCATACTGTGGTTGAGAGAGAGGTACAGAAAGGCCTCTGATCTGCACTCCCTGCAGTATAGCTACCACCATGACCTTGAGCCAAGTCTTCCATGCTGACTGCTTTAGCTTTTCCCATTTTTCTCTGGTGCCAGTATGGTTAGAAAGGGTGGTAGTAAAATCTCTGGCTAGTTGTGCGCTGAGGACAGATGTCCACTACCACACTGATTTGGGTATAAAAAGTAAGACTTGCTGATACTCAGATTTGCTTTCCAGACACATCTCTGATTTTATGAAAACTACTGACTTTCTCCTTATACTCCATCCTCTGTGTTCTTGAGCTTCTGACCTTTGATCTTTGTTTTTCACTTAAGAGAAGGTTCCAGAAACCTAAGCTTATTTTCTGCCTCAGTTATGTACCATGAAGGAGGGTGTTAGAAGACTCTGTCTTCAAACTAATGAAAAGGTCAATGTAAACAGTTCCCTTCAATGCTTCATTGTCTGCCAGCAGGGGTAAGGCTGGGTGAGAAAGGAAACTGGATGGGAGTTTGTGGACATGAGTTATGGAAGAAGAAGAATTGCACAGTGTCTCATTTCACTCAGGTATGAAACAATATGAGCAAAACTGGCTTTAGGCCCAAGAAAGGTGACCCAAATGGGTAAGCGGCAATAGAGTGCCAGAACAGCCTAGAGAGTATTCCAGTGGCTCAGTGCGTGCAAGGAAGGAAGTAGGCCTTGAAATGGGTGGGAGTTCAGATGCCACACAACTGTAGGGGAAGTTTGTCTCTGCGATCCCCTCCGCCTCCATTTACAGTTCCTTGTGCAAACCTTGTGCTCCCTTTTCATGCCCCACTCTGTCAGAGGCTAGATGACTGGGCTAGATAATGAAAGGCTGTCTGTGCAATGGCACCGTGGGGCGGGGGCTGGAGTCCTTAGTTAACCATCTGACCTCCCTGGGCTTCAGTTCCCTCCCTACACATACAAGTACAACACTGATCCAGTTGTCTTGGCTGCACCATGCGTTGTGCTGGGGTTACGATGGGTGAAGATCTGGTGCTTGGGGAGGAAGGACAGGGCATCCAGTTACCCTCCAGCAGTGTGAGGGGCCAGACACAGGCCCACTGCACTGGGGGGAGCACAGGGCTTGGGTGGGATCTTATCATTGAAAGTGTCTTGTCACTGTAAAACAGGCCATAAATGAGAGCTGCCGTCATAGCCCCAGTTTTGATCATCAGGTTGTCTGTGACAATGAGTGCCTGGGAGTGAATGTGTCTGTGGAGGCCTTTCACAGAAAATGCCTCGCCAGAAGGGACAGCGGAAATGATGGAAGCTCATGGTGTGGTGAACCAGCAAGGTAGTCATGCTGGGGTTGAACTGACCTTTCTTTTAAACCAGTTCAGACAATGGGGCGCCTGGGTGGCTCAGTGGGTTAATCCTCTGCCTTCGGCTTGGATCATGATCCCAGAGTCCTGGGATCGAGCCCCACATCGGGCTGTCTGCTCAGCAGGGATCCTGCTTCCTCCCTCTCTCTCTGCCTGCCTCTCTGACTACTTGTGATCTCTGTCTGTCAAATAAATAACTAAAATCTTAAAAAACAAACAAACAAACAAACAAACAAACCAGTTCAGGCAATAGTGCTCATTTCCCACAGATAAAAGCTCACTTGTCTTCCTTCCTTATGTGTAGTTGTGCCCATGTGTTGTTCCATGCTGACAAGTTTAAGCCCACATAGACTTTGACAAATGGCAGTGGGGAATACTTTATATTGCTTATTGGGGCAAAATTTGTTTGTTTAATATATATTTTTAGTGACCGTTACTTGGTTGTTGCAGTTGTATACAGTCTGGGTTTATCAATAAGTAATAAAAAATAATAATTTCCCCAGACTACTGGAAGGATTTTTTTTTAAAGAAAAACATAAAAGTCAAATTCACTTCATTAAGGAGGCAAGAATATTTTTTTTTGTTCAACCTGTAGACCCTAAGGTATTTCTTTAAAATATTATTGATTCTGGGGTACCTCGGTGGCCCAGTTGGGTAAGTGACCGACTGTTGATTTCTGCTCAGGTCATGATCTCAGGATTGTGAGATTGAGCCCCATGGCAGGCTTTATGTTTGGTGAGGCGTCTTCTTGAGATTCTTTTCATCTGCCCCTCCCCCTGCTAGCACACTTATGTGCACACACACACACACACACACTCTCTCTCTCTCTCTCTCAAAATGAGTGAATAATTTAAAAAAAAAACATAAAATATTATTGTTTTTAAAATAAGCAGATTGCAAAAACCAAAGTTGTGTGGTTGTTGAGGAAACAGTTTCAACAAAGCAAGAGGTAAAATCTTCCCTCCCACAGAAGAGTTGTGATTTTCATAACATGGACTTCTCAGGAGCTGTTGTACTTCTCTTCAAGTTCCTATTTGTAACATCCACAGAGAAATCTTCTGTGGGCTTTGAGGCTGGGGCTCCATTCAGTGTCCCATGTTATTTTGGTTTACATGGCCAGAGGACACAAAGTTATGATCTACAGCTTTCATGTGGCCCAAAGAATGCATGTATGTGTGTGTGTGTGTGTGTGTATCATGCATTTATGTTTATATTTCAATTTTAAAATTTTTTGCCCAATAATCAGGGGATTCGGGGTTTTTTGCTAGACTTTCAGATTCTTTTGGGTAATGAATGATGCTGGCATCCACGAACCCAAGTGTTTGCAAGGCTACCAAGTGGCTCTTGTGAGGTAGTAGCTGTTCTTTTTAATACTTTTTTTAGTCTTTTCCATTCTGGAGCTTTCCTTACCTGGGCCCCAAGGACATCTGAATTCTTAATGCCTCAACCACACCCCCTCGAAAACTGAATGTGCAGTTTACATCTTCACTGGTTGTCAGAGTTGGGGAAAGTAGTGACCCAATGGAGGGTGATATGGTATGTCAGAGAGGAGTGGGCCAGGAGCCCCTCCAGCATTCTCTGGTTCCTCAGGCCAGGCTTTTGGCCACAGGCCAGAGGTTGACTTGTGTTGGCACTGTTGAGAGAGTTGCTGTGGCCTGTTGAATGCCCGCGATGGAGGTAAATATTTTTTTCTTTTAAAGATTTTATTCATTTATTTGAGAGAGAGAGAGGATGAGAGAGAGAGAGAGAGAGCATGAATGGAGAAAGGTCAGCAGGAGAAGCAGACTCCCTGTCGAGCAGGGAGCTGGATGCCGGACTCAATCCCAGGACTCCAGGATCATGACCTGAGCCGAAGGCAGTCGCTTAACCACTGAGCCACCCAGGCGCCCCGATGGTGGTAAATCTTTGATCTTTGAAGATGTTTAAAGGAAAACATCAGAAATCACTTGGGTACAAGTATAAATACATATCAACAAGTTGGATAACACCACTCCATGGATAAAAATGAGATTTCTCTCACACAAGACCGGCTTTAATGACAGCAGTGTCAGAAGAAACACTAGAAATGTACTTTGAGTCACAGCAGCATCTGAGAAAACCATATGTTTTCCTATAGTAGTAGCTATGTTAAAGGATAGCTTTTATTTGGAGATTTAAGGTTTGGTATATTCATTTAAATAAAACAGTCTGGTATTTGGTAGTCTTACCACACATGTATAATTAAGACCTGATGATAAAGGTTTATGCTTTTTCTAAGGCATGGTTCCTACTTCTTTCCTTTGTTGCCACCTTACATTGTATTTCTACTCTCCTTTAGCGTGAATAGAAGAAAGGAAAGATTGTGAAATTCTAATCGTTTAATTTATCTATGGGGAAAAGTTGGGCTAGGGAAGGTGTTAATACTGTTAGTTAAAATGAAGTCTGAGAATTAACTCCAGATTCTCAGTCTCGATCTCAGCCTGGTTCTGGCAGAATGATCAGTGTTCTTATACTCAGAACCGGTTTTGCTGGTTGTGCCACAGTGTCCCTCTGTGCAGTGACATAAACAGCAGAGATAGTCTTCAACCGGACATTGTTTTCCCCTCGGGGTCTATGCAGTCTGGAAGCTCATGTAACTTGAGCTGGTATCCCTGGGTCCCCGGGGAACGACTCAGTTGATACCTGGGTGGGTGAGGGTCTCTGTGTCCGCACTGTCACAGATTGGGAGTGGAGGACAGGGTGATATAGAAGAAACTGCCCTAAAATGGAGTTCAGGCAGTCGGGGACCTGTTGTAGCCCTGGAAGAGTGGCTTTGGAACTTTCTCTTCCTGAGCTTCGGTTTCCTCAAGGGCAGATAGCAGAAAGGGGAATGAGGAAGGGTTGACAGAGTATTAAAGGTTCAGTCCATGTGATTCTAATGGGAAGATCACAGTGCTACATTCTTTCATGGGACTCCCGTTTACAAGGTCATTTCAATTCATTTTTTTTCCCCCTTAGCCAAACATTGGTATCTACAAAGTAGATTTGTTGCTCACTAATCCCCAGGATGAGGAATTCCCATGCAAGACCCTATTGAATTATGGAAGAGTGGTGAGCTCAGATTCCTGGCACGGAGCACTGCCCTTCTCCAGGCAATGACATCACCCCCAGAGCAGGAGTGTACAAACCCTAATTACAGACTTCCCTTTCTCC